GCTTCCAGTATAATGTTGGATATGATATGGAAGTATGCACCCTTGTTTCTGATGTGTATGTATGTATGTATGTATGTTTGTATTTATTGTTGGTGTAGTTTGTGAATGCATGATAATTACATTTGTCTTAGGTATTAGGGACCCTTTTCACAGTGGCAGTTATCAGAGATCCCTGTGGTGAGTCCCTGATTTCCTGTTTGGAGTTATGGAGTGCAGTGAAAAGAAAGAGACCAAGAGACAAAATAGAGGTGCAGCAGGGATTTGGGTGACCAGTTGTTCTCCATGAGCCACCCAGATCCTTGATATTAATTCCTTATGTCTGAGTCAAGGACAATGAGTGAAGGGTAATGGATGTTTCCAGGAATAGTAATGTTGACTGTGGTGGGCTAGCAAGAACAAAGCATTCTTGTAAGCATGAGGACAAGGAAGAGACAGGTGAGGCCATAAGGCAGTTGTACTTTCCCCAGATGCCAGTAGTTTCCAGCAGGTCTTACTTTTCTGAGCAATACAGCAGTCATTAGCCATAGGGCTTCCTGCTATGACCAAAAAAATACAGGCAGTGTCTGTGTTCCAGTCTGGTTTAAGGACAAGATAAGAAGTATGGACATACCCTAGATTCAATTTATAATTTATAGTTTCCCAACACTTGGGAGATTTGTATATATACATAATCACATTTGGTCATTTTTATTTCTCCTTCTCCTTGCACTTAATCATTGCCCTTCCTTAAATCTTTATCTCTACAAATTTTACCTCTTGTTTTCTACTCTCTTACTCTTTAAATTATTAATATTTGGAGTTTTTCAAATTAAACTCTATGATATTTAGCATTATAGCTTTTTGTATGCTAGATTTCTTATGGTTTTATATAAATTTTAGGATTTTTTCCTCTAGTTTTGTGGAATGCTATTGATATTTTGATTGGGATTGTATTAAATCTGTGTATCATTTTTGGAAGTACAGCCATTTTGGCTATAATATTGATTCTACTTATCCAGAACAGGGAGTATCTTCTCATTTTCTGATATCTTCTTTGATCTCCTTTTTCAGGCAATTGTAGGACTTTCATATAGAGTTTTTTCTACTTCCTTGGTTTGGTTATTTCTTAAGTTTATAATTTTTCTTGATATTGTAAATGTTGTTTTTCTAATTTTTTCTCAGTTTAGTATTGGTGTATAGGAATTCATTTTCCTATATTTATTTTATATCCTGCTACATTACTGAATTTGGTTATTCTAGAAATCCTTTGGTATTTTTTAGGCTTTCTCTGTAGCTCATGTATCTGCATATAATGATAATTTGACTTCTTCCTTTCCTATATGTGTCCCTTTTATTGCTTTTCTTACTTGATTGCTCTGGCCAATGTTTTCAGTACTATATTAAACAACAGTGATGATAGTGGACATCTTTGTCTTGCTGCTTTTAGAGGGAAAGTATTCAGCCTCTTCCCATTTAATGATGTTACCAAAGGTTTGTCATACATGGCCTTTATTGTATTGAAATAAGGCCTATCGATACCTGTGGTCTTCAGGATTTTTTCAGGATGGATGTAAACTTTGTTATTTATTTATTTATTTATTTAGTACCGCAAATTGAACTCACAACCTTGCATTTGCCAGGCAGGCGCTTATGCCTGAGCAAAATTCCTGGGCCCTGGGTGTAAACTTGTTAAAGGCTTTTTATGTGTCTGTTGAGATGATCGTGTGATTTTTTTTTTTTTAAATCCTTGCTTCTGTTTATATGACATATTACATTTATTGATTTGTGTATGTTGAACCATCCTTGCACTCCTGGAATGAATCCTACTTGATCATATTGTATGTCCTTCTGATGATTTATTATATTGTTTGCCATTATCTTACTGATGACTTTGGTGTTTATTAAACAGATTGGTCTGTAGTTCTATTTTTATTTGGATCATTTTCTGACTTCATAATCAGTGTGATTCTAGCTTTCAGGAATGACTTCAGAATTACTTCTTCCCTTTTAATTTCATCAGAGTTTGAGGAGTATTGGAATTAGATCTGCCTTAAAATTCTTATAGAATTCAGCAATCAATAATCAGATCCTGGGGTTTTTTGAGGGTTAGGGTTTTTTCTTTCTTTCTTTTTTAAATGTTATTGGCTTTAATTTCATTGCCTGTTACTGGGTTGCTCTGGTCAGTACATCAAGTATTGGGTTTTCTTAGTTGGCAGGATTAAAAAAATTATTATTGCTTTAATTTTATTGACTTACTGTATTGCTAGGGTTTTTATATTTCTGGGTTGTTTTTGTAATTATGTATGTAGGATTCTCTATTTCTTCTAAATTCTCCTGTTTATTGTCAAACTGTATAGGTTTCTGAGGTCATAGCTAATAATAGTCTGAATTTTGGTAATACCTGCTGTGATTTCACCTTTTTCTTTCTTTTTTTTTTTTTTTTGTTTTTTTTTTTTTTGTTTTGTTTTTTTGGTACTAGGGATTGAATTCACAATCTCAGGTTTACCAGGCAAGCACTTGAGTCACTGAGCTAAGTCCAACTTTTTCATTTTTTTTTTCTTTACCGGTATCAGGGATCGAACTCACAACCACACACTTGAAGGCAGGCACTTATGCTGCTGAGCTAAATCCTCAGCCCCAAACTTTTTCATTTTTAATTGTATTGATTTCAGTCTTTTCTTTTTGCTAAGATTGGCTAAGGATTTTTCTATTTTCTTTTATTCTTTCAAAGAACTTCACCTTCAATTCATTAATGCTCTTATTGCTTTTTACTTTCAATTTCATTAATTTTTACTTTGATTTTATGATTTCCTTCCTTGCACTAGCTTTGGATTGAGATTGTTCTTGTTTTTTTGTGACCTTGAGGTGGGTCTTTAGGCTATTTATTTGGGCTCATTTTGTTTTTCTACTGTCAGCATTCACAGAAGTAAACTTTCTTCCTGGGCCTGCTTTTGTTATGCTACATTGATTCTTATAAACAGTGATGTACACACTTTTTCTTGGATTCTAGGAACTGTGTGATGTCTTCTGTGACTCATTGATTTATTCAAGAATGTATTGTTTAATTTTCATGGGTTTGCATAATTTCTATTTTTTGCTGTTGATTTCTAGTTTCATTGTGCTATGATTTGATAATATACATGGTATAACGTCAGTTCTTTTGCATTTATGTATTCATATTTTATGGGCTATCATGTGGTCTATTTTAGAGAAATTTCCACATGAGAACAATGTGCATTCTATTGTTGGATTGATCAAAGTATAGATATCTGTTAAGTTCCTTTGTGTTTCAACTCATATTTCTGTGTTGATTTTAGTTTTTGTCTAGTTGATTTTTTTTTTTTGTGGTAGTAGATTATTGTGGTTCCCTAGTAAAACTGTCTTGATGTTTATCTTATCTTATATGTCTAGCAGTGTTTGTTCTATGGAGTTGAGTGTGTAGGTGTTCAGTGCTTTTACGTTTATAATTGCTATCTCTTCTTGTTTAATTTTTCCCTTAAATTATTAGTGACTTTCTTTGCCTTTTCTGAACATTTTGGGTTAAATTTTTACTGTGTCCAGAAATAGGATAGCTACTCTCTTGTTTTCAGATACCGGATGTGCAGACCTTTGATTGGTTGATTGATTGATTTTGAGATAAAGTTTTACTATATAGTTTAGGCTGCCCTTGAATTTATTAGCACTGGCCAGCCTTGAATTTGCAGTAATCCTCCTGCATCTGGCTCCTGAGTTCTAGGATTTTAGGCATGTGCCTCCATTCTCAGCTCCATCTTTTGATTTTTAGTCTATGGTTTCTTTTCGGACTAGATGTTTCTTGTAGATAGCATACCATTAGATTTTGGTTTTTTCTTCTTTTTTTAATCAGTACCGGGGATCGAACTCACGTCTACCTGCTTGCAAGGCAGGCGCTTATGCCGCTGAGCTTAGCCCCTAGATTTTGTTTCTTAATTCATTCTGCCAAGCTGTGTTTTATCATTGAGGAATTAAGACCATTCACACAGAGTTATTATCAAAAGGTACTGATTTACTGCTCCCATTGCATTATTTCCCTGTGCCTTTTTTCCCCTTTTGCTTAATAGCTAACTCTGTCTGGTAATTTCATTCTGTTAGGCTTTTTGGCATTGTTGGCTTCAGGTGCCACTTTAACGGATATCCTTGAGAATTTATGGAGTTCTGGATTTTTAGTCATTAATCTTTAACATTGTGTATACCATAGAAAGATCTTGTTTCTCTTATTAATTCAGAAAGATAGTTTTGTAGGATGCATCAGTCTGTGTTGGAAGTTGTTTTCATTTAAAGTTTGAAACTCTTGACTTTATGTTCTCTGGTCTTTCAAGGTTTGAGTTGAGAAGTCTTCTGTAGTTCTAATGGGTTTTCCTTTGTAAGTGTTTTGTGGCTTTTCTTTATACTACTGTCCCTTCTCCCAACACAAAATAGAAAAAAAAAAAAATCCCATGACCACTTTTTCCAAAATTCTACCAATCTTAGGAAAAGAAAACTACGGAGGAAATGGTATAATTAGCAATCTTTTTCCTATTCTGTTAGTAGTAGTTAATTTGATAATTGATTAAAAGTGTAGCTTCTTTTCATGAACATAGCTAATCCTGTTACATTAATACCAGAAATACCAGGAATTGGGTTCTCTGAATACCATCAATGAGGTCAGAATTTAATATGAATAAATACACTTAAACCTTACAAGAATCACCATGATTCTTTATTTAAATTGTCTATAAATCTTTCTATAGTCAACAAGTCATCTTGATCACTGTGTTTCTATTTTTAGACTTGCCTGATCTGAGTAGGAAACTCGGTAATTTTGACTCTTGTGGGTGATATTATTTATTGAATTTGCTCCACTGTCCATTACTACCTTGAAGTCTGATTCACCAGCTACTTCTTAAAAGGATCTCTCTCCCACTCCTTTCTCTCCCTTCTCCTTTCCTCTTCTTTTCTCTTCTCTGTTTTCTAACCTCTTTCTTTTTTGCCCCATCTCCTTTCCTCTTCTATGATTTTCTCAGGTCTGGGCTTCAACATCGTCGGTGGGACAGATCAGCAGTATGTCTCTAATGACAGTGGCATCTACGTCAGCAGCATCAAAGAGAACGGGGCTGCAGCCCAGGATGGGCGACTCCAGGAGGGTGACAAGATCCTCTCGGTGAGAACTGGCTTCAGGTTTCTTTGCTGTTGTTTTTATCGGTACCAGGAATCGAACTTGCGACTGCCTTCTTGCAAGGCAGGTGCTTATGCCGCTGAGCTAATTTCCCAGCCCCTTTGCTGTTGATCTCCTAGTCTCTGGGCTCTTCCTTTGGCTGCTTACTGCCTGCCTTTTTTGGATCTGCAAATATCCAGATTGTATAGTTGAATAGCAGGTATCTTGAGTAGTCTTCCAATCCCACCTTCAGGTTTGGAGGATGGTACAACCCTCACTTGACAGATAAAGCAAATTAAATGTAAAATGTGAAGTTACTTATCCAAATTCAAAAACCACAGTAGAGGGAGGTGAGTACTTTATGTGTGAAAAAGAGATTTAAAACCCACAATTTTTGTGTTTGTTTCCTTGCTGCATCAGCTCTCTTTTGTTGATTACAACACTGATTTGTGTCTTCTTTGGAAGGAATATTGATTCTTACATATGGAGTTAACTCTGGAGTTACAAATGGAGTGAACTTTGAAGTTAACTCTTCAAAGAAGGAATGTGGGGATTAAGCATCTTTTGAAGACTTTGATCCCTTTCTTGCTCATTAAGATGAAAAATTGGAATGCAGTTTGACTTGGATATCTTGTCAACTGAGTCTTATTTTACTTCGTTAATGTTTCTTACATAGTAATCATTAACTTTGTTATTTTATTGAATTTCCTCCAAGGCAAGAGCCATATCTTCTTTTAGCATTTATGTTATAGCTTAGTACCTAATATATAACAGATGAACAAATTGGAAAACTCAGGAAAAGATGAAATGGTTAACTGTTAATGCCTAAGAACTCCTAGCCTTAACATAAATTAGAATAAGCTTACCTCAAGTTACAAGCAAAATAAGTTTTAAAAAGCATTAAAATGCATTATACTTCTGGCTATACTTTTCATTTCTCTTCTTCTCTGTTGGCTACAGTATCATTATGACATATCAGTTATGTGGGTTAGATTTTTTAAATTAACTGTCAAGGCTAGCTAAATATGGTCGGCTTGTTACATAGAAACAATATGGTTGATTGATACAAAAAGTGGGGACAGAGCAAGCCCTCCTTCCTGGTAAGCCGCAGAGTTGCTTGCAAGCAGCCAGCATGCCAGGAAGAGAACTAGTCAGCATCTCCGGAGATCCAGCCATGTTGGAACTTGGGGGGCTGAGCAAGAAAGCAACCAACCCGCCTTCCTGGTAAGCGGCAATGGCGTGAGCAAGCACTGGGCGTGCCAAGAAAAGAACAAGTCAGCGTCTCCTGAAATCCAGCCATGTTGGAACTTGGGAGGCTGAGCAAGAAAGCAACGAGCCCTCCTTCCTGGTAAGTGGCAGTGGGTGAGCGAGCTGCAGATGCACCAGGGAGAGAACCAGTCAGTGTCTCCCAAGAGTGGACTGAGAATGAAAGCCCCCCCCCCCCCCAGCAACTGGTTGGTGTCCAGGACAGCCGGAGTTGATAGCAGCTAAGGTACATAAAGCAACTAAATGCTTGTACTGTTGGGTTGGTTCTGCTGACCTGGGGCCAGAGGTCTGAGCATCCCTTGGGAGGATGACCATATGCAATATAGCAAATATAGGGGATCTCCTTCTGTCTTGTCTTTGAAGGCAAATATTGTTTTTACTGTTTTGCTTTGTTCTGATTGTTTTGCTTTATTCAGTATTCTGTTTTGATTGGTTTCATAGTGTTATGTTTTTGGTTTGATTTTGCTATACCTGATTGAATGGACAACTATTGTGAAGATAATGAGATATACTATGGTACCTATTACTATTGTCTCGGTATCCTGTTCTGAAGTTCTGTAGCAGGTTCACTGCAGTGTCTCAGTTGGTTTTGTTCTGTCTTGTTTTGTTGTATTTTACTACCTTTAAAATAAAAAAAAAAAAAAAAAGTGGTGGCATTTTTAGAAGGTGATCTATTACCCTTCTGGTGTATTCCTGGGAATTAGAACTGGCTTCAAATGCAATCCTGAAAGGGAAATTTGGGCTTAACATAAGGCTTTTTATGGTAGAAGAACCTACATTTTTCTCCATATGGGCAAATTACCATGGCATGTGGTCTAAAAAGGAGAAAACTATACTTTTCTCTGATGAATTGAATAGGGCAGAAAAACGCTGAAATAAATTAATGACGTACATACTAAGAAAAGTTTTAGATAAGAGAGTTAAGTATCTGTCTCAAATACCAGATTTTGAACCTGTCTCCACAAGATAAGAAAATCTTCTTGAAGTTTTGTTTTACGTTTTCCCCTTTGAATTGTATTTCATGCAGTTCAATTGACTAGTGATTGAAGTTTGTATGAAGTCTCTGGGTCCTTTCCCTTTCCGTCCTCCTCCCTTCCTCTTCCATCCCCTCCTTCCTCCCCTCCTTTTCTTTCCTTTCCTTTCCTTTTCCTTCTCCTTCCTTTCTTCCCTCCCTCCCTCCTTCCTTCTCTCCATCTCTTCTTTCATTCCTTCCTCCCTTCATTTTTTCCTTTTTGGAAGTACTCCTCATTAAACCCAAGACCTCCCACAGGCTAGGCAAGCACTCTACCATTGAATTAGTTTCCCAGCCCATTTTATTTTATTATTTTATTTTGAGACAGAGTCTTGCAAATTGCCATCCTGACCTCTATCTTGAGATCCTCCTGCCTCAGTCTCCAAGTAGCTGAGATTGTATATATGTACCACTGTGTCCAGTTAAAGAACATGTCTTACCAAATTCATATTATAAATGTAGTAGCATGGATGGCATTATTTCAGTCTTTCTCACGGACTATATTTGCTATATTTCAGTCTATCAAGATTCTTCTAGGTCCTGTGTATGTGTGAAATAAAGACAGTGATAAAATCAACTTTTTCTCTCAAAGGGATATTTAAGAGTTTAGAAGCAAACTTTTTTCCTGTACTATATCTCCCAGGAGAAAGGCATCATAAAGCTGTGAATTAGTTTGTCAGTGGTATTACAAGGAAAAATTGAGAAGCGGGTTGTTAAAATAAAGGTACAACATGTAGTTAGAATCTGTGTATTTAATATTTTGACATAAAACCATAGTCTTCCCAAACACCGGAGCCTGGATTCTGTGGGTAAAGAAAGAATTGAATAGAATAGGATTTCAGAAAAGGGCTGCATTTGAAAAGCTTTGGTAACCGGTAGATTATTGCAAGGTGAAAATGATAAGAAGGTTCAGGCACTAAATGACAACTCGAGTGCTAGGAACTTTAAACTTAATCTTGTTTAATATTATAGTAATCCTATGATGTGGGTATGGTTATTATTTACCCATTTTGTGGTTCTGGAAACTGAATTTGACAAAGTCAAACAGCTTACCCAATGCTAATGACATAGAACTAAACTTTTTGTATACTTGAATTTAGAATATTTTATCCAGTATATTAGTATGCATTCTCAAAAGTAAATAAGGAGCTGGGATTAGTTATCTTAAAAAAAAGTTTTCCGGTGAGTTGACAGTAGATGTTATGTATAGTTTTATATAAAAACTGAATTCATCTTTCTATGAAATATAAAAATAGGAAAAAGTGACATAAACTTCAATGTGAAAGAATGTATTAGATAAAGATGAGATGAAGAACTTTTCTTACATGAGCTATTGTTTCACACTTATTGGAAGACCTTCCACATTAAAAAAAAGGGGGGTATGGCATAGAGATAGAGATAAATGTCATGATTTGAAAAGTAGATGTCTAAAAAACTTAGTTCACCGAACTAAAATTTATAGCAAAGAAGACTTTACATTCTTAAAATATAAAAAATGGAAGAAATATATTTAACATCACAAAGATATGAAAGAGATACATTGCAAACAATAATGTCTTTGTTCTGGTGAATTAATGAAAAAACATGCAGAAGAGCAGAGAAAATTCCAGAAGTTGAAAGGCGAAAGTAGAAGACAGCCATATAGAAAATAAGGGAGACAGACAAAGATGGAGTATGTGCCAGAGCAAAGGGCAGCATATCCTCTCTATTCTATTTAGGAGGCCTATGAAAGAGTCTCTGTTGCCTCACTCACTCCTATTGTCGGTCTGTCCTTAAGTAACCCTGTTAGGTCATGAGTGTTAAGTAGGTCCCTCTGTTTAGCTCACTTCATCCTTTTGATACAGTATACTTGTAATCAGTTGTTATTGGCATTAATGTCTCTAGAAAATGTGCAAAATATTTATTAGATTAAATTCCATTTATTTTCTATGGGTTTTTCTCCAGATGTAAGTTATTTTTCCTAGATTATAAAATATGTCCCATTTTTTTCTAGTAACGTTTGCTAGATAACCAAACTAAAAGTGTGTTCCTTTTTTTGGATACATCCATTTTAGGTTATTAACAGAAGTATCATTAGGTGATTTTGTATATTTCCTGTAAGCTATCACTGACTAATCTTTCTATCAGATAGAATGCCCACATGTTGATTTTAAGTTCTAAAATTGAATAATTACTGGGTATGTCATGCTCCTGCCTCTTTTCTTATTCAAAGTGTTGTGTATTTATTTATTTGGTACCAGGGATTGAACTCATGACCTCACACTTGCCAGGCAAGTGCTGTGCCACTGAGCTATCTTCCCAGCTCTGAAAGTGTAATTTTTTGATTTCTGTGTATGATTTTAAAAAATCAAAAAAAGAAAACAAATTTTTAACTAATCAATGTAAGTAAATTTTAAGGTCCTGTTGCACCTGAAACAAAAACAGGTGTTAGTAATGGAAGAGTAGACTTTGAAGTTCAGATGAGGGATGGAAATTCTTTACTCATTGTTTTGTGTGTGTGTGTTGATGAGTATGGTTTGATATTAGAATTGGTTTCCATGGAAGCTAGGGACATTTTCTTTTTGTTAAAAGAAATGTAAACTAAGTGAAAGGAGGTAGTTAGGCATAGTCTAGCCTCCTGAACTTTATATTGTTATAAAGCTCAGTGTGATATAGGTGGTTATTATACTATAAAGATGAATACTGCATTTTAACCAAATCCCTTAGAAAACAAAACAGCCCAGATTGGGCCATTAGCCAGCAGCATTTCTTATTACGTTTAAGTACAATTCTTTTTTTTTTTTTCCAAGTACAATTCTTAATTGAATGAATGAATGAATGAGTTGGTTAACATTTATTAGCTATTGTACTTGCCAGCCTTCAGAATACTATACCAGGTGCTATGGAAATTCACAAAGAAATGTGACTTCTCTTTGCCATTAAATTAAAAAACAATAGTAAAACCCAGCAAAACTCTCATCCAGTCAACTGCAGACTCACTGAAGTATACAGTAGAATCCTTTAGATAAAATACCACTTTTAGAGTCTGTCTTCTCCGCTGATTCTCCAGGGCATATATCTGTAGCTGGCAGTAGGGTAAATATCTGATTTAGTTTAGTCAGTGAATCACTCTCATTTTGACAGTGACTTTTTTTCAGCTGGGCCTGATTAATTTGATTTAGATAGTTTTTTAAATTCTTTCAACTTAGATGGAAAAAGGAAAAAAAAGTAGTTCATCTCAAGAGTTTGGTAAAAAAATTTAAGTGTTTAGAGTATAGTTTGAGATCATTATTCATTTAAACAGGTTCCATTCTTTCTTGTTATATATTCATGTTATCTTTGAGTCAGAGCTCCTGTTTTCCATCATCCTGAGGCATTTCAAATTTATAATCATCCAAGAAAACTAATCTTAACTCAGCTTAGGTATGAACAGGAAACACAATTTTAAAAGATGTTAATAGCAACAGGTAAACCAGAATGTTTTGTTTCCCTGTCACTTAACTAGAACCACACCATCCTGATTCTGTGAACATTCAGAGGCAGCAAAATTTTCTAGTATATTGCAAATTTGTCATAACTTAGTTTCAATACAATTTGTTATGCCGTGGGTTAAAGAAACTGGAGTTAGTCAGTTGAGTAACTCTTAGTATTGAAAGCGAAGCCCAATTGACCATTGTGTAGGAAAGACCTGGGCACTTGCAGAAATGCAGAATTTCAAGCCTTTTTCCCAGAGCTTCAGAATAAAAATTGTACTGTCATTACATTGTACTGCCCCTGGTAAGTCTGCACACAGTAAACTTTGAGCCACTGTTATATTAGGCACTCTTCTGGTTTTCAAACTTTTAATTAATTAATTTTTTGGTTGTGGAACTTGGACTTGGAACCTTGTGCTTGCCAGGCAAGTGTTTTCTGTATCCCTAGCCTCTTTCAAACTTTTAAAATCATGATTAAACATATTTTCTGTTTATCAAATAGGACTACATGTGTGTGTGTGTGTGTGTGTGTGTGTAACAAAATATTTATCTGTATGTGATGAATGCTGATGTTTTTGTGTTTTCTTTTGATTTCATTTTGTAAAAATATTCTTCCTGACCCATTGGATCAATTTCACAGTCTTCTAGTGGGCCAGCAGATGGATATTTGAAAAATCACTACTCTAGTTAAATGGAAATTCATTCAAAAACTCTGTAGGTACATGGAATATGTATTAAATAGAACAAATAGGCTGGGAGTGGAAACCAGCTGGAAGACTGAGATGGTGTAGGTTAGAACTAACTCAACTTTAGAATAACCTAGAGGTTGAGAGCTACTGTCTCTGGTAGGATGGATGGTAGTAAAAGGAATGAATTCCACAAATATTTAGGGATAAAATCCACAGAACTTAATCTATAGACTCTAAAATCCTTAGAGTAGATAAGTATTGAAAAGCAAATTAAACTTTGGAGTAGAAATCATTACCTGGAAAACTCAGTCAGAGTACTGAATCAGGGCTGCAACTATCTGGATTTGATTGCCTGCCATGTTAACAAGAGTACAAGGAATGGCCATAAAAAAAATGGAAAAATGAGCTTATTCACAATTCAGTCAAATTGAGAGGGCAGATAGTCCATTCCTCCAGAACTCACAGAAGCACTCCAATTTACAGAAGGGGTAGAACAAAATCAAGGAAGTGTGCATGTGAATTTAGTGAGGCTTTGACCCAGCAGAGGAACCCAGGAGATGTTGAGTTCTCTTTGGTACCAGGGCTAGGTTGCCACAGTTTCTGCCCTCTCCATGAGGAAGCTGGAGAACAGTTTATCCTTTTAAGAAACAGAAGCTGTGATTTTTAAAGATTTGTTTTACTGTCTTGGTTTCAGAATGACATTATCAAGGGAAAAAAGTCATAATCATGATTTGTTTAATGAGGCTTGTTTATCTTACTCAAAGAATATGAAACATTTTATCTTTTTAAAAAGGAATTCTCTTTATATTTCCAAAAGGTTTCTTATTTCATTCTTCAGTTGTGATTAGAATTATATTGTAATACGGTTAGGCTTAACTAGGACAGTCACGAGGCCTGTAGGCTTATTTCTGTTATAGTGTATTTTTTGCCTGCTGTTATCAGACTCAAATGAAAGACAACACACTGAATCTTTAGCAAGTAGAGCTGCTGTTGGACTTGAGGTTGTTCAGCTCAGCATGCTTTTGAGATTTCATCAGTCAGGCTTTCTGCAGTTACGGCTTTTGCAGAGTATATTTTGCAGCCAAACTTCAGGAAAGCAAGGGACATTTCCTACATATTATACAAAGTACTTTTCAGGGGTTATAAGGGCTTTCAAATGATGAGTTCATATAACAGCCTCTTCACATTACTTGTAGTAGAATAATGAATAATATAAGGCAGTTCAATTTGAGCTTTAAGAGCAGTACATAGTGTAAAGATTGAAAGAAGTAAATCAGACACATGTTGTGAAGTTACAGTATTTAGAAAAACTATGTCAGTGAAGTGACAATTAATTGTATCTTTTGTTTTAATGTTACTTCAGTGTATACAATATCTAAGCAACTTATGCTTTTATCCATCTAAAAATTTAACATTTTATCTAAAACTTTCAAATATTTAAACATTAAAAATTCATAAAATTTAATCTACAACATTAATATGATAATGATATGTTGCTGAAACAAGATCTTTGTTTATACTGTAGTTTGTATAGTGTTTTTAAAGCGAGGGCTTTGGGACCAGGCTCCTTGAATTTGAATCTAGGGTTTGCTTTTTCCATTCTGTGTGCCCATGGACAAGTTGCACGGTTGGTACTTTTGTTTTATTACTTTAAAGTGGGAGATCCTAACTTAAAGGACTATTTTGAAGTCTAAAGTTAATATATGTAGAAAGAATAAACAATTCCAGACATGAAAATCCTTACATGTTAAATATTTCCTGGCGGTTATTACTGAACAATGTGGAAAAGATTATTTTAAGCTCAGTATTTCTACTGTAAATACCATGGAAGGGCTCACTTATCCCTTTTACATTCATATTACTATAAAACTTTGGCACTGATGACTTTGATATGGAGCTATGACATCATTTGGCATTTGCTACAGTGAAATAGAATTGGAAACTATTAATTTCAGAAGAGATGGTCTACAAGGTAAGAGTATTGACAGATGAATTCACCAAAGACCTTAGTAGGAGGGAACATTATGAACCTCTTGGAAAAGGACAGTTATGAGAAGGAAGGTGAGAGGGTTAAAAAGTTCATGGCTTGAGTTCAGCTGAACAGAGGATACTTGGTGAGTCAGGGTGGAAGAACAATAGTGTAAAAGGAACAGGGACATGCGAGGGTACTTTCCACTATTTAAAAGCTCTGGCCTTCGTTCCTATTCTTATTGGTCTCCCTAAGTTTCCATTTCTTCAATAAAACCAATATGAAAATAGTATCTTCTGCACAGGGTTATTTTGAGGATTAAATGAGATAGTGTATATAAAGCACAGAATTTATCAGAATAAATAAATGTTCTTACTGTGGTTGGTGGTGTTATCATTAACATAATGTAAAAGATGTGTAATCCTGCACCAAGTAAGCTATGCTGTATAGAAAGTTACCACTTGTGGCAGGGCTAGTGCAAACACTAAAAAGTATTAATACCAGTATTACTTCATGCCTGTCACTTCTAAGTGGAACGAATGACCCATTTCCAATATTTTTTAAAGGTTTGTGTCATCACACGAGTGTGAGCTTTAGTAAATTTGAGGAGAATTGGGGTAACCATAGAATCATGGAGAATTGTTCAGAATAGGATAAGCTCAACAAAATGGACTAGTATCGATTTATACTATATCAAAATAAATTGTGGGGGAGTTTCATAGAATTATTTTCATAGTTGAAGGGACAATGCCAAGGATTGAGAATATAAAGAATAGGGTGGTAACTCAGAAGACATGCAAATACAATAACAGAATTTCAGTTGTTACACAGGCAGAGAAGGAGAATCTACTTTAACTTGACCAGGATTTTCTTTGAATGGCCCATGGAACCTCAGCTATGAGAAAACATAACTTTGAAAATGAAAACAGTTACTCCAAGTAACTTTGCGCATGTTCTCTCCAGGATGTTGGAATTTACCCTGAGGAGCTTTTTTTCTTTTTTTTTCCAAGTTTGACCACATGAGAGTAGAAAGTAAAGTGCTGACTTATGAGAGTTACCCTTCTGTTTTTCTTACCACTCTTTCTTGCTGTTTTTGACAGGTAAATGGCCACGACCTAAAGAACCTGCAGCACCGAGATGCTGTAGCCCTTTTCCGTAATGCTGGCTATGCTGTGTCCCTGAAAGTGCAACACAGGGTAGGTATTGCTTGCAGCCAGGTTTTTCTATCATGCTTGGGAATAAATCCATGGATGTGTTTTGTTTTGTTTTGTTTTGTTACTGTCACTACATTGAAGAGCTTGACCTCAGGGGTCCTCTGGTACCTTAATGGTAATATTCTTCAGAGATAAAACTTGATAATCAAATTTAAATAGGTAAATAATTTAGAATGAGAATCACTTTTACTTTTTGTTAGGAAAGACCCACATACCTGATGACTATTATTTATAAAACCAACTGATAAAACTCACTGCAAAGATGGTAAGTTTTTTTGTCTCCCCCATTTGTTTTTTCCTGTCACTGCTATGAACTCTTTTCACCTTTGTGACCTTCTTGGCCAAGCTCTAGGGCTCAGAGGGAGCTCCAGGCAAAAGGAAATGAAATCCAGAATTCAATCAAGGCAGCTTCTGTCCCTGTATCTGCTTATTTTATAATTTAGATGATGGAAGAAGTATAGGTAAACATAATTCATCCCACAGCACTCAGAATTTCTTGAATGTATATTCACAGCACAGGTTCAGTGTGCCTTCATAGTGGAGCACTCTGCCTTACTCAGCAGCTGAGTGAGGACTCTGACATTCAAGACTGAAAAGAGCTAATAAAAAAATGGAGAAGGCAAAACATGAAAGGTATCTGAAAAATTAGGCAGGGTTGCAAGCAGAATATGGGTGTGTTGGTTAAAAAACAAACTGACAAGAGATAGTATTGGTCATCAAATGCTTCTGCCTTGACTTTTCTCTTTCTAAACCATGGGAGGATGTATGTAACAGATAAAAGCAAGTAAGGATAGGGCATACTATAGACATAGGGTTCTTTTTGAAGGTATGTGGGAAGTGATTGCAATTTTCATTTTATAAAACCTCCACAAATAGCTCATAATAAAATAAACTTGGGTGATTGGGGAACTGGTCTCACCTAAAAACTGTGTCTTTTTATATGTAAGGCATATTCTGTCAGGATATCTCATTAAGACGTAAGTAAAGGATGAAAAGGTGGTATTGAGAATATAAAAGGTAGTTTGTGGAATCTTACCTTTCAGAGGTCAGAATGTCAGAATCTCATAGATTACTGCAAGGAGACTGACTAACTGAAATAAGATATCATCATAATGACTGCAAGTTAACCATTAAAAATTGATAGTAAGAAAGGCCGTGTTTGGTAAAGATGACCAAAATAGACAATCCAGCCTCAAAGGGACATAGTTAGGCAATGGAAAAGATAAGGATGGTATGGTTGATTTTTTTTTTTTTTTTTTTTTTTTTTTTTATGTTTTTACTTCTGAGCCTTTTTCTCTGTCTAGTACTATAAATTAGGGCATGAAAGACAAGACCTTACTTTGGAGGGAGGGAAGCTGTGCATCCTGAATATTGGAAAGCTTTTCCAAATAGTAGTATGTACTTGTGTTGACACTGTCTGGATCTGCTTTTACTGCATTCTGAGGGCAGATAATCTTTGTAAGCAAAAATTTCCAGAATTCTTCCTTCATTTCCCTTCCTCTGCTCATCTGTGTTGCACACAGGGTCAGTAGGTTTCATCTCATATTTTTATTTTCCTGACATTAAACACACTTTCCTAAAAATATAAGCAGTATGAACAAGTAAAAAGTTGTCCTCCCCTTGTCTTGTTAGGGCAGTAGGACAACAAGGTTATACAGCCTTCCCCATAAGACCTACTTTCTTTCCAGAGAGTCTGTGACATTGATATACTAGCTCAGTACAAAGAGAGAATTCCTTCTGCTGGCTTTGTGTGGCTTACAGACCTTAGGCCCAGGAGATGCATCAACTTGGACAACTCAGTTGTGGTAAACATACAGTAGTCACTAGAGTTAACATTTTTCTTTCTCTCCCAGTTACAGGTGCAGAATGGACCTACAAGCCATCGAGGTGAAGGGGAGCCAAGTAGTATTCCCATAGCTGTGGTGCTGCTGCCAGTGTTTGCCCTCACCGTGGTAGCAGCCTGGGCCTTCATGAGATACCGGCAACAGCTTTGAAAGGCTTGTTCTCTTCTGGCTCCCAGTGAACTTACCATTTCTCTCGACTTCCTTCCCTACCATTCTCCCATATCTTTCCTTCTCTCTTTGTAGCCAAAATATGATTTAAAGTGAAAGATTCCCACTGTGAACTTTGCTGTTCAAAATCCCCAAGCCTTTGTATTCTAATGGGAGAGTAAAGGTATTGTTTGAAGGAAAGCTGAAGAAAAGACTTGCTTAGAACAAGTGGGGAGTTTTGTGTTTTACCAAGATTGCCAATAGAAATTCAGCTACCACCCAAAGAGGGAAAAGTCCAGTCTTCCTGTCACCATGGGTGATACCTTTTTTCTTAGCTGGCATATCTTGAAAGCCAGTGGTAAGACATGAGAGGAAGAGGGGATTTTTCTTTTAATGATCTTCCTTGAGAAGTGTTTGTGGCCTTTATTTAAATAATTTCTAATTACATACATGGGTGCCTGATTTAGACACAGGATATTGAGGAGAGCTTTTTACTTTTTTAAAAAAGCAAATACATATATATAGTACATACTCATGTGCAAATATGATAGTATCATATTGATATCTTGTGGAGACTTAAAGAGGTAAGAAAGCTACTCTCTGATTTCCAGGTTTCTCTTTTAAGGAATGATTTTAACTGAAGAATATAAAGAATTATTTGTAGAGCATGTACAGCGGGAATGAGGAAGTGAACTTTAAAAACTAATGCTCAGAGGCATTAAAAAATAAACAGCCAAATAGAAAATCATAGAAAGTATTTGTTTTCAGAATAGCTATGGTAAAATTGAGGTGCAGTGCCATAAAACAGCCCTGCTTCAGTGAATGTTAAAAAAAAAAAAAAAAAACAAAAACCAAAAATACCAAACCAAACAAAAATACTCTTAAGGTTTAATGATAAGTCACACTGCTACCTCTGGACTATTACAGTGATTTCTCAGTACCCCGCAGTGCATTAAAGGATCAGCTGAGATGACTGTGATCAGGGCTTTAGCAGTGGGACAAACCAACCCAGGGAGACAACTCTAAAAGAACGAGGTCGTACTTCAGGTGTATTATCTGACCCTCTCAGACTATTCAGTATTTCTGGTTTTTAAATAACAGGCAAAACCTGAAAGAAGGCATAAAATTAGCTCTGTTCTGGGTTAGTTATTGTCTGGACTGCTGGTTTTTAAAAAACAGCTTTTGATAAGTTAAGAAACTTTTTCAGGAAAAGGAAAAAATGGGTTTTGTTTGGTGGATGCTTTCTGGGGAAAACCTGAGAATAGACTATGGATGAATGGAAGCTATGAAATACCAGGAATATTGGTGAAGTGGAATCTATCCTCTTCATGTAGTATTTAAGTTAGTTTTAAAGCCCTGAGGATAGTAAATGGGCTAATTTCTGGCTTTAATTTCCATTCTCCAGACAGCAGGCCAGACTGTAGGCTTTATATCATTTTGACTTAAGATTATTAGAACTGTCCTTTAGATAATCAGTTATACCCAATTTTAGCAAGGACAGTCTAAGCAGCCATTTAACAAATGCTGATGGATGTTAGCTTTGTTAAGACTCATTTGCAAAGAAGGAAAATATATAACCTTTATCCTAAAAGGCTTTCTGAGTCAGTTGGGAAGAAAACACTTAAAATAGAATTAGTTGCAGAAGTTGGGATTGGTAAATTGGTGTCAGCTTTATATTGCAGACTCTTACATTGCAGAGAGAAAAGTTAACTGAGAAATGAGGCCAGTCAGAAAGTTCCCACAGAGAAAGGGAACAAACTAAGGACTCTTAAGGAGCTGACAGTGTAGTTAACAAAAGATTTCCTAAATAGGTGAGTACTGTATATCATCCATCTGGTTAAGTAACCATTAAGTTAACCGTGTAGAGCATGATGCAGTACAAAGATGTGCAGATGACTGTTGTCACAGTTTTTAGAAATTCAGAAAAGGAAGCTGTCACTTAATGGCATCAGAGTGGAAAGATATGGCATTTAAAAATAAAGAATCCTTGCCTCTGGATCAACTATTGACCATAAACAATCTTGGCATACTTTTTGCCTTTCAACCTGAATTGTTTGATACTTTTCGAAGCTCATTTAGATAATCAGACTCATTGTGGGTTCTACAGAGAAACACCAACAGTATTCCAGCTTTCATCTCCCCACTCCTGTATGTGATGTCATGTGCAGCAGCTACAGTGGGCCTGCTTACCTCCCAGGATTCCCCTCAGGCCTTGGACATTAACTCTTGAAAGAACTTATGACACAAAATGGAGCAAATGGCAAGTAGAAAAGAAAATAATTTAGATTTTTGTTTGTTTGTTTGTATACAAAATAAACACCTGACCCATCATTGGTAGTCAGTTCCTAAATTTAGGTTTTCTTGGATGTGAAACAGCATTCAAAAACCAAACATTTTAAAGTTTTATGCAAGAATGCTATTCATTATAATGATTATATGGAGAACTAAAGTTGTAAAATAATCATGTTGTGTATAGACTAAATCTAATATTTCTGCCACCTAAATTAATGGTGAAAGTTTTGAAAATTAAATATAGATATTTTCAAGACACTGTTTAAATTATTTCTCCATGTTTGTGTTGTATATATAACATGCTGTTGTAATACAATGTTCCTTGTTTCAATCATTATTTCTTTTACTGCAAAGTTTTAACTTTTGTGTGAATGGTTTCATTAATTAATTGAAACCCTAACTATGTAAAATGGGAAAAGTTTTGTTTGTTATTGCATTCTTTGCCAGAGTCTGTACCAGACTTTGCTCAGTATATGCTGTTGGTTCATGTGTCACAACTCTTGAGATCTAAGCATTGTTATACAGACTGAACATTAGAGAGTAAATTACTTTCCTAAGATACTAAAGGTGGTAATAATAGAATCAAGAGATAAACGCAGAACTTCAGGTGCTAGCATCAGAGATACTTCCTCAGTACCCATGATTCTCAAAGTGAGGTCTCTGGCCAATAGCATCAGCATTACCTGGGAATTTGTTAGGTAGCAAATTCTCAGCTCCATTTCAGACATACTGATTGAAAAACACTGCATGTGGCACCCAGCAATCCTTTTCAAAATTCCTCTTGGTGACTAATTCATGTTAAAGTTTTAAGATTCACCACTATGTGTTAGTAGTTCTCCCACTTCTCAGGTTAGTATCACCTTAATTGCTTGTGAAACTCCTTATGCCCAAGCTGCATCTCAGATGGGACTCTGTGGATCTGAGACTCAGATAGCACTAAAACAAATTTCATTAAACGATTCCATTATACAACCTTAGTTAAAACTGTTCTGTGGCATTTAAACCTAGATATTATTTAAATTATTAAATTATAGACACTATTCCAGCCAAGATCAAAAATTTCACTTGAGCAATAAAAATAATGGAGCCCAGCTGTTTGAGATTGTGCTCCATGTGTAGATATGGAGTAAAAGTTGGAATATTGTTTTGCTCTTGATGTGCTGAGGACAGAGTGATCAGCCTCCAGCAAAATGTATGATTAGTATCTCAGCTTGTGCATCTATTAAGATCCAAATATGGAACACTGAAAGCTACAAGGTAAACAGGTTCTAGGATGACTGTTTTAGAGGTGAGAAGATCAAGGCTCAGAGAGATGACCCTTATTTTAGTCAGACTTAGACTGTTTCAGATACACCTTTTTGTCTCTTTTTTTGTCTTGAATGTTTCCACTAGATGAATGCCCACAAAACTATCCTTTTTATCGCAGTGTATTTCCTTCTCTCTTGGACTTTGAAGAAAGACCAGAATTGATAGACAGCTAAAGGATATTTTAAGCTTCATGATTGGAACATGAGGTTCCATTTAACAATCCGTGAAAAACTTAACTACTCAGTCAGATCAGTTCTTTCAATCCCAGAAGTATGGAATTTGGCAGTGGGTATTCTTTTTATCGTGTGAATAAGCAATTAAAAAATATATTTGAGTTGGAGACCAGCCTAGGATACTTAGTGAGTTCAGGCCAGTCTAAACCACATAGTGAGACCTTGTTTTAAAAAACAAAGCTAAACTAAATTAAATGTATATAAATTTGAAGAAATGAAGCACAGAACCATAGACTGTTGAAAATGGAGGCAAGTAGAATCCCTGTAGTTTCTATAGAGCCAATAAAAATTTTATGATAGCCACCTTTAATATAAATGTTTCTTTGGACAAATGAGAACTTTTTTCCTTCAGCATGAGTGTCAGCCACATGCTAGGTCCTGAATATAGAAAGATAAATAAAATATGATTGCTCTAAGCTGAAATTGCACATGTGAGTGGAGGCTCTTGAGGCTAAAGTATATTTTTTTAACATCACCTAGAAGCAGACCGTTGAATTCTGAAGCTTTCTACCTCTCACAGTAAGTTCCGAGAGTTGGCTGTTTTCCCTGGGTAAACCCCTTTTTCTATTGCTCTTTTAACCCCAAATCTTTTTGAGACCAGCATTTACATCCAAAAGATCAATTATGATCTAAAGGAAGACAGTATTTTAAGGAATTCATTTCTGATTGGAACCAGATTCTTAACTGCCATATTCTCTTACATTTATTTGTAGACTACAAAACCTGACACACTTGATAAGAATCTATATTATAACATGGTATTGCTGCTTGTAACAAATTGGATTATTGCAACCACTACAGCCTGTTATAAAAAGCTTTCCTCACTGTTAATATTCTCTTTATTTTTCAAGTTGGGGGGAGTAGGTTTATTTACATACACACACACCCAAATCCTTCATAAATTTCTTGAGTAATCCCCGGAAATGGAGATGATCTTTCTTCCTAACTTGCAGTTTTGCAAATGAACACAGAGAAGTGAATCTCATTTTAATGCTGTGCCTACAATGCTGATTTGAATGAGTTTCTATTTACTGAACTGTATTTTACCTCCAGTCTGTGTTAGTTCTTATAAGAATATCTTCCTTATAAACTTTGTGTTTTTTGTTTCCTTTCTACCTGATTCTCATGTCAGCTTAGATCCCTGGACATAAATACAAATCCATATCTCAGATCATATAGGTGCCCAATAGCAATGTGAAAAACATGTGGACGTAAAACCATTTTAGGAACTATCACTACAAATTAAGTATGTTAATGTGGCTGTCAAAAGCTATGATAACTTGAAATTTTGCCATTTGACCAGATACAGCAAATGAGATAATGTATCTAACTGTGCCTTGTGAACTGTGGCATTCAATAAAATCTTGTTGAATTTGTCATTGAATTTTTATAATCCTTTTTCACCTTACCTTGAAGATCATTAAATAAATATCTTGTTTTTCTGCTACTTCCTTGGAAAAATACCTGACATAACAGTGGGAAGATGAAATCTGAATCATCACTTTGAAGCCTAGCTTTGACTTAGGAGGTAAGGGATATTACATTGATATACTGCTAATAATAAAATTGGCAGTTACTAATCTTTTGTTAGAAGTTTGGTTATTGTTTGCAGCCCCTCACATCTATTCATTTAAGGTTTATGGCTACTCTAAATAACTGCTATTAGCCCTATTTTACAGATGAGGTACACAGGGAGGGGTTAAGTAACTTGCCTGGCTCATACAGTTAGTAAGTGCCAGAACTGGGATTTAAACCTAGGCAGTGCGCCTATAGTTCCAGATACACTCTATTTTCCATGGTTCAGCATACTGCACTGGGCTGCCCTTTTGTATACCCAATGGCAAATTCTTACAACTATGCAAGGCAGCATCAATGTTATCATTTTTAGAGATGAGTTAACTTTACAGTTAAAGAAATTAGTGAGTTTCTCAAGACACATAGCTAGTAAGTGCCAGAACTGGATATTTACTTCAAGCCAGCGAGAATTCCATTTATCCTGTGATCCTTTTAGAACTTTTAGTGATACAGCAGTGCTGCAGCACATATGCCATAAATTCACCATCACTGTCTTATAGCTTATATCATAAAAAACAACAGAACAATAGAGGACAATATTCTAAAACAATATTTGTAATCACTATCATAAGAGAAATGTTCATGGGACAAGCAGTTCATGGGACTAACTGGTTTCAAATTGGACTGAACAGGAAATGGAGAGAAGGACCAAAATAAAACTTGAGATTTTGATATTGAAAAGTTAGAAAACCATTAAGAATCCTCATTTCTGGAAATGTTCCAGAAATTATCTGCATTGTCAAAAAATTCGATACCCAAGTGAAAGAGTTTATCTAGAGAAGTTCACAGATAAGCATCACCTTCAAGTGTGTTACAAAAGCAGTTTTTTCAATCTAGTCTCTCACCTACTGAATCAAACTAGTGACAGGGCCCAGCAGTCTCTGTTTTAATAGTTTTTAGGCACAAGAAATAAAGACTCCAGTTTACAATCCTAAAGACAGTAACAAAAGTCTGAACTGGAGTGGAAGGAGTGAATTCCAAGGAAATAGTTAATATTACCAAATTCTATGTGAGTTTGGTGGTACAACCATGTAATCCCAGCACTTAGGAAGATCACTAAGAGTTTGACGGCAGCCTGGGCTCCATAGTGAATTCAAAGCTAGCCTGAACTGTGTAGTGAGAACCCTGTCTCAAAAAATTAAAATAAATTTTAAAAATTACTGATTTCTCAGGGCGCAGATTGCATAAGCACCTGCCTGGCAAGCACAAGGTCATGAGTTCGATCCCTAGTACAAAAACAAAACAAAAAAACCCTCCAATTTCTACAGGGAGTTCAGTTCTATTTGGGATTGATCTCTCATCTTTCTGTTCTAGTCTTCACATTTGCAAATACTCTCTTCCAAGTCAGGTGGAGAAATAGAGGGTGAAGAAAGGGATTAGCAAATTGTCTTATTTTAATAAACTTTGACCTGATTAAAGTCCCCCTTGGATTAAATGCAAATGGAGCTCCCTCCCAATTTTTAACTTCAAACTCTGAAATACTCTCATTTACCTATTTTCATCTTATGCACATGCTAGTCAGAGTGATAATGACTATATTAAATAATCCAGTGTAGCAATATTCTGTCTTATGTATGAGAGGCTACTGGAGCTCTGAGGAGGGAATAATTTACATTGCCTGTATAAATAGAAGTACTACACAAACTCAGATTCCCAGAGCTGTGTAATGAAAATGAAATTCATGGCCTACTCAAGGAATAGTATCTTTTCCAGGATGGAATATGGAAATGAACAGTGGCGAAAAGGCAACAGTCATATAAGTACTGCACATTGATTGTCTCACTGCAGCTCCACAAAAGTCATAAAGAATTTAAGCCTTGCTAAGAAAATAGAGTGGATATTGTAAGCAAAATCAGGGAATCTGATTATTATGTATGTCTTCCAATACTGTGGATTGATTTAAGAAGCTGTTTTGTTTTTTTATTTGACCCTATAGTCTTCCAGGCATGGTTATCATTGAAGCAGTCTAAAAGATAGATCTGAAGTTTCTCCTATAAATACCACATAAGGGACTATTTTAATAGGTATGAGGATGATAACCAGGAACATTTCAGTTCAGTTCATTGGAGAAAGGAACAGATGGGAAGATTTCAAATATAGACTAGGAGGTGTTACTCTGTTATCTGCACAATGGGTGAAGCTTCCTGATTCACTCTGCCAAAGGGAACTCTAAGGACTTTGTTCTCTAAGCTATCACAGTGTTTTCGAAATGCGAAATGCCTTGTTAGACTGTTAGAAAGCCAGTTTCTTTAAGGCAAGAATAGCTTTTTTTGTGTTCCTAGAGTCTTCCGGAAAAATGGTTGCAAAAAAGTTGTATGATTGTTGAACCCTGTAAAATAGGTTTTCATAAATGACAATATTACAGGCTCTCACAACAGAAATGTTAGTGCTAAGCAAAACGTAACACTGGTTACGCTCACTCTAAACTTTCTAACGATTTACTGTTAAAACACTTTATTAAATTGGTGAATTTCCCCAACCCACAAGCAAGAATACAGACCAGAGTATTAGCTTCAGAATACTGCTCCCCCCACTTGAGTTTATTGCGCCAAGAAAACGTAGTCAAAAAAGAATACGCCAGATACTGGCTTCCATATCAAATTGACAGCAAACCGCATTCCGGCCTCTTAATTCCAGCTACACAGCGCCATCTCGGAACTAAAGATATGTGGTCTCAAATTTCTGGGCGGACAAAGGAATGTGTACTCATCGATCGATTATTTCTGTCTGGCCGGAGACTTATCAGGGGAGGACACCACCAGGAAAAGGAGGTGAGTTGTAAGAGGACGCTGAATTGTCGGAGGGCGCTCTAGGTCGGCTGGTGTGACTCTAAACGGGCTGAAGTTTCAGTTATGTTCACACCCGCGGTGATGCGAGCGTTGCGTAAGAACAAGACCCTTCGCTACGGAGTCCCTATGTTGGTGAGTTCAGTGAGAGGAAAGTGGGACCCCCCCCCCCCCGGTTTGCTGCATCAGAACTTTGGCGAGTTTGTAATAAGAGGAAACAAAATAGGATGTAAACTAGCAACGAGCTCTCGAAGACTGAGAACTTTTAGACACTTCTAGTCGTCTACATAGCAGTATCCCTCCACCCCCATCTCTTCCTGTTAGTTACCAGTGTGTCTGTGACATCTTTCCCATCGAGAATGTGATTGTTATTATCTCCGTTTTACAGCTGAGTAAACTAAGTCTCAGAGAAACCAGAGTAACCCCAGTGTCTGTGATTACTAAATTTGTTTATAGGGTTTTGTAATACACCAAACAAGACCTCAGGAATAATGTTTAGCACAGTATCCGCTACACAGTGGGCCCTCAAGGGGTTGCTGTGTTACCATTTCTAAAGCAAGTTTTGAAACGGCTTTGGTGTTCATATGGCTGCATTGAATTTTGCGCTGAATTGCTGAAAGATGTCATGAGGGTAGTTTTAGGTTGACATAAGACCAAACCGATTTGGAATCCAGACAGGCTTTAGTTGCTGTGTGAGCACAGACTAGTTATTTTGCTTCTGCCTCCGTGTCATTATAAATAAAGTAACTTAAGCATATAAACAAAAGTAGCTTTTAAAAAAATACACAGTAATTTATTGCTTTGGTATAGCTATTGCCACAGGTGAAGATAACCAGCTTTTGCATTTAAGCAGGACTAAAGGGAAAAAGGTGATTTTAAAAGGTTTTTTTTCCCTCATCTGATGAATCTGAGTTTTTTTCATCTCTAGGAAACTACTTCAAATATATTTTTGAAGAGTTTGAGGAGAATTGCCTTTATAAAATAACAGTAATTATATCTATGTAGAGATAGCGCATGTTTAAAAAAATATTCTCTGCAGATTGCTCTGCCACTTTGAAACAGTGTGATTGTGGTCACTGACTTGTCCTCAGCATGCCCCTATGGAAATCATTTTTGATGTTCTCACCTTTCAAAATTACCAAAACAAAGGTTTTGAAACTGTTATACATTGAAGTACTTTGTAGGATTTTCCTTTCATGAAGTGGAAAGTATCTCAGTACTTCTTCCCAAGAAGGATTCACTGTTCTGTGAATCCTATTGGACCTAGGAGCCATGTTTCTGAATATTGGCCCCACACCTGTAAATAATTTCATACAGCAAAATTCTGTATTCAAGACTAATATCCAACTTTATTGGAATGAATTCAAGAAACACATCCTCATACTCATGTGTTAGACAAATATGCCATCACTACTGTGTTTATATTCAAGTTGAAATTACAGTATTTTCTTTCTGTTTATTAATACTTCCTAGTACTCTTTATTCAACAATATAGAGGGGGACTTGGATTACCAGATGTATGCTAATAATACTCTTTCCTGTCTTCTAAACCACTTGAAAATGTTTGTTTCAACTTCCATACTGTGTCTTTAACCCTTAGAATTTACTTTTCTAAACTGACTAGTGACCTGTTTGTTCATACACACACACACACACACACACACAATTCTCCAGCAATGTTCACTTACTTGTTTTTAGTATATTCCCCATTCTACAGCCATTATCACATTCTGCTCATCCAGTTTAACTGATTTTTTTGTTTCAGTTGCTGGTTGTTGGAGGTTCCTTTGGTCTCCGTGAGTTCTCACAAATCCGATATGATGCTGTGAAGATTAAAGTAAGAACTCTATTGGAGTTTTACTTATGTCTTTATATGTATATGCTTATTTACTGTTCTCATTGCTGAAACAAAATATCTGACACACAAAAATAAAGAAGCAAAAGTCTGTTTGGCTCATAGTTTGTAGAGGTTTCAGTCCATAATCACTGGCTCCAAGGGAAGATAGGTTGGCAAAGGGCCATCATAGAGAAGGACAGTTCATGGCACCCACAAGATAGCAAAAGCAACAAGGGAGAGAGACAAGACTATTTCTGTCCCTTATATTGTATGCAGGCTCCCTGGCCTAGCATGGGTGTAGGGCTCACACCCTTCCTTAATCCTAGCCAGAATTATGCAAAACTAGGCAGTAGACTGATTGACTAATCACGCATCCTTAATCCCAGCACTGTACAGTCTAAATTCAGCCACTTCTGAAAAAGCTCCATCTAAAACTATGTCTCATGATTATGAGACTTTGTGAAGCTATCTAGATACAAACTATAACATGTTTTGGTTTAGTATACTTCACAGTCTGAGTTTGCTGTCAGGGAGATTCCTGTTGTATGTCCTTTAATCTCAGTTTTTTTCATTGTAGCTCTGTGTGATGATTTATCTAACCCCAAGTAGCACCCATCTACCTGGTTTCTCTCCTTGGTTTTGATTCTGAATCTGTGCCAGGTTTGTCAAGTGCACTCACGGGGGTAAAATGGGTTTTCATTTTTTTAATTTTCAGCTCTTGCGGAAGCTCCACTAATGAGTCTTGTCTCTTAATCCCTAAAAGACTGCCAATACTAGGATTTTGTTTTGTTTTATAAATTACTTGAACATCATTGGACACATTTTTAATTTTATTATGTACTGAAAAGAAAGACACAGGAAGATAATCAAAAGGTTATACAGTAGAATACTATCTTAGGTAGAGGTTTTTTTTTTAATGTATGTTAGTAGCACATGATTAAACACAACTGAAATTAGTACTGATGTAATTTTGGAACCACAAATAGACATATGTTGGAACTTTTGGGTCTTGCTTTTATTGTACATCTTTTCTTTCATTCACATCATTTTAATCTCTTTAAGTCATCTTTCTAGTGGAATCCTCTGGTTATCCTTCAAGTTTACTTTGTTCTCATTCCATTTAGTCACTTGCTATCCAGTGTTCTGTTTAATTTGTGGTTTGTTTGTTTCAGCAGTCACATTTGTCTTTCCTAAAGACTATGCCATAAAAAGTAGCATGATATAAACTCCCACGTACTACTGTGGAATCTTATTTTTTAACAGTCCTTATTTTTGCTTGTTGGAAGGTATTCTTTTAGTTTTTAAGTATCGTATTATATTTACTAGAATCATTAATCTTATTGCTATATAATGTAATTTAGGTTAGCCTCCACAGTCAGAGGGCCAAGGCTCAAAAACATGTTCTACCTCTTTGACAGGTTGTTCAAACACATTATGTTCTATACATTACATGTCATAATAGAGATAAAAATAATATCTCTTAGATTTTGTGAGGATTAAACAAAGATGTCAAAATGCCTGACACATAATGAATGCTCAGTAGGTAGTAGCTGTTTTTAGTTGTAGTAGTGATGGTAGTATATTAGTTATTTTTATCTGATTGAAGTGGAGATTTGCTGTCTAAGTTACTTTTTCATTGCTGGGACAAAATACCCAACACCCACAAGTTAAAGGAGGAAAGATTTATTTTAGCTCATAGTTTTGTAGAGATCTCAATCCATAGTCACCTGGTTTCAAGGCAAGGCAACATGGCAGTCACCTATGAAAGTATGTGGATTGGAGGATGTTTTAGTTACCTGTCTCAGTGCTGAGACAAAATACCCTATACCCAAAATTAAAAGAAGAAAGATTTGTTTAGCTCACAGTTTGTACAGATTTATGTCCATAATCAACTAGCTCCAAGGTAGGCACATGGCAGAAGTCAATAGTTCATGGCAGTAGAAGACAGCAAAAGCAACAAGAGAGAAAAAGGACAAGGCTCTTTCTGTCCCTTATGTTGTATGCAGGCTACTCACTCTAGGGCAGGTGTAGCACTCATACCCTTAATTCTAGCACTGGACCATGAATGAATCAAAAACTCTAGATTCAGCCACTGCTGAAAAGCCTGCCCTTCATGGCTGCAAAAGGCTTTGAGGGGACATGCAAACCATAATAGGGGGCCATCTAAGTAACATTTGACCCTTAGCCCCTCAAAAGACCGATGTGTATCCCTTTATGCACAATGCATTTAGTCTATCTCTGAGAGATGCTAGTTTCCTGACAGTTTCAGCATTGCTGAAAAATCCAAGTCCAGATTCTCCTTTGGGATTTAAGGATAACTTGTAACTGCAAGACCTGTAAAAATGAAATGAAAGTTAAACACTTCCACAATTCAATGGCACAAGGTAAACATTCCCATTTCAAAAGATAGAAATAGGGGACTACAAAGGAATGGGACCAAAGCAAGGCCAAAATTCAGAAAGGCAAACATTAAATCCCAGCATTCTTGCCCCAGCCTCCAGGGCAACCTGTGGCAAAATGTGAGCTCCAGAGGGCTTGTGGGGTTCCACCTTATAGCAGTGCTGGTGATTGCAGCCCCCATGGCCTCACTCATGCTCACTTCTTATGTCTTTCCTCAGATGAGTCATATTTCTGGTTTCTCCAGACTTACGGGCTCTCCACTGCAGCTTTACACTCATAGCTTTACACACTGCCCTCTTAGGGACACCTTGCCTAGTCTCCTAGGCCTTCTGAGATCTGGGTAAAAGCCTTCCTGACCTTACAACTCTTGTGTTCTTCATGCACCTAAAACTTGCATAATGGGATGAAGTCCAGATCTGCTGCCAGCTGGAGCAGTAACCAGCCTTCTCTCTTAGCTGTAAGAATCAAGTGCCTGGATTGCTGAGCACTGTGAACTCAATCTTGAACAAATTACCTAGGCCATCACCATTCTGGAATATGGAGCTATGGCGCTCTCCTGTTAGCACAAAGTCTTTTTTACCTTTCTAGTTTTGAGATTGCAAAGGATGAAGAACTGTTGGTTCTTGTGATATCTCAGGCCATCTTTTCTATTGGCCTGTTCTGAAGTACTTTACTTTTTAATACTAATCTTTTCAGCCACTAAGTTGTCCTCCACTCCATCTTTATAGGCACAACTTTATTGGAGCTTCCTTTTTGGCTGGATACAAACTTTTAAAATTATTGTGTTTGCTCTTGAAAATCTCAAAATACAGTTAGACAAAAGCCCCCAACAGTAGCCATTGCCACTGCATCAACATTAGATTGCCTTGAAGGTCCACCAGATTAGTCCTTTTCCCTTAAGCTCAGTTTTCTGAAGTGTCTCTGGACATGGGCAAAATGTAGACAAATTTTCTGCCAAAGCATAACATGGCCTGCAGTGCAGCTGCCAGTAGAGTCTCTCTCAACTGAAACCTCTTGAGCCTGGTCTTTTATTTTTGCATTACTGTCAACATTCTGGTCTTCAGAGTTCTAACCAGAATCTCCCAACAGCTTGGCTTACAGCATTCTAGGGCTGCTCTTAGTTAGAATCTCTGAAACTTTCCAAAATCCTCATGCTAGCCATTCCTAAAGGCTTCTGAACCACAAAGGCAGGGAGCTTCATAGCAATGACCCCACTCCTGGTGTCAAACTCTTTCTTAGTTCTTTTCTCATTGTTGGGACATAATATCCAACCCTCACAAGTTAAAGGAAGAAAGGTTTAGTGTGTAGAGATTTGAGTTCATAGTCAGCTGATTCTAAGGCTGGGCAGCCTGGCAAGGGGCATAGCAAAAGAGAAACAGTTATTAATTTGGCGGGGAGGAAGCAGCAAGCATTTTTCCTCTTTTCTTGTTCGATCCAGGCTACAAGCCTATTAATTGGAAACCTGTACCCAGGATAGGTCTTCCCTTTAAGTTCATCATCCACACCTTAGAAAAATGCTACACCAATAAATGAATTAATCCAGTATCACATATCCATGTACCAGTCCTAAAAATCCCACCCATGAGCACAGAAGGCTTTGGGGGCCTCTCTAGATAACAGGCCAGAACATTTGTAATGTGTTTTAAATTGGTCACACTAGCCCAGTCATCCCTTCTGTGATTTAAAGTAAAAAATGGAATGTAAGAAATTTAAATAATTTATGGTTCCTCTTTGTTTTCTGTAGGTTGATCCTGAATTGGAAAAAAAGCTGAAAATGAACAAAATATCTTTAGAGTCAGAATATGAGGTATGATGTTATAGTTTATGTTTTATAACAGTTTTACTGTGGTCATGATTGGTTCTCTCTGCCTTAAGATAATATTGTAGAAAAATTAGTTATTTTAAATATATGGTATTGATAAATAGCAGATTAAATATCTGTTATCTGAAATATTTGGTGTTTCAGATTTTTAGTTTTTCAGATAGACTTTACCAGTTAAGCATCTCTAATTGGAAAAATCTAAAGTACTGCCAAAAGTTTTGTTGTTGCTGTTTTCTTTTTGTGGTGTTGACAATTAAAGCCAAGACCTTGCCCATGCTAGGTAGTTCTCTATCTTTGAGCTATACTCTCTAGCCCAAAACCTGAAATTTTTGAGCATTGTGTTAGTACTCCAGAATTTTCAGAGTTCAGATTTTTAAAGGATGCTCAGCCTGTATATAGTCATTTGAAAAGAAAATGAAAATGGAGTCATATTTTATATACCATGAATAAATAAATTGCATATGGAACAAGGATCTAAAATTAAGCGAAACACTAAATGTAGTAGGAGGAAGGAAATGCAGATTTTTTTGTAATATTAAGTCAGAGAAGCCTATTTAAATATGGAGTAAAACCCAGAAACTGCAAAAGTGAAGATGTATGAGTTTATACATTAAAAATCCAGAATTTCAGCCTTAAAAAATTCTAGAGTAAGTCACAAGTTAAATGAGAAATCCTAAAAATGTTTTATATCTTTATCATGGCTAATTAGTTAATATAAATACGAAGAATATCTACAAATCAGTATGAAAAAGGTCAGCAGAGCTGGGGATTTAGTCCAGTGGCGTATGGGACAAACAAGAAGTTGCAAGTTCAATCCCTGGTACAAAAACAGAAAAGGTCAGCAAATCAGTTGGTCAGTAGAAATGTGGGCAAAACATGTAAGGAGTTTAGAGGAAAAGAAATAATATTTTATTCTGACACTTATAAAGAAATGCTTAACTTACCAAAACAGTAATGATAAAATTATAGCAAGATGTCATTTTCAATCAATCTGATTAGCAAAAATCAAAAGGCTTAATATTAATAGCACATTGTATTACAGGATGTGATGAGGTGACCATTTATAGTTTAATCATTTTTTGACTGAATCATATTCTCCTCTTTGTATGTCTGACCATTTTTTTATTGAAAGTTGGACGTGAAGAGATTTCTGAAAAGTGCTGATTCTCATTTTACCTGGCAGCCAAGTTATTGGCGATCATTTTGAACTTGGGTTTGTGTTTTAAAAGGGAGAACCTGTAGAAAGGCTGTGGCATTTCCTAGATGGCTGTAACTTGATGTTGCACTCATTCTTCAAACTGTTTCCCCAGAGAACCTTGGGCGTGCTTGGGTTTTAAATTTTGCTGTATATAGTCATTTGAAAAGAAAATGAAATGGAGTCATATTCTTCTAAAGTCTAAAGTAGGTATTCTTCTCAAGCATAATCCCCGCTCCTAAAGAGCAGCTTTTTAGGTGTGTTAGCTAGCAGTAAGGAGAGGTCCATAGTCTGCCAAGGCTCACAATCTAATTTTCATGGCATTGCTGTTCTTCAATATTTCTTGTGTCTGTTCCACACTGATTCCTGTGGCACTTAGCTAGTAATTGGTAGATCTTAAGTGTCTTTCCTTGCGCACACGTACAATCTAGCATTCATTCACTGTCTTTTGTAGAAATAACTTTTACATGACCTCGTTCTATCAATCTTGCTTGTCTAAGATTGATTTTAATTCTCTAGTGTATGCATCTCATTTCATTAATGGCCATTATTATATTAAAATCTTTTCATATCTTGAGATCATTTCATAACAACACTTGAAAATACCCTCTTCCATACTAAATTAATAAAATTTTGTTCCTTCATACATATTTAATTCAGTCTTTTCATGTGCTTTTATTCACTGCTTCCCTATTTGGTCAGAAATTATTACTTGCTACTTGAGGATATGTAAGTAATAAATCAGGAATGATGCTACAAAAATGTATTTGGCAGATTTTTCCTTCTGGTTCTTACAGAAACCATGGAATTGGAGCACTGAAAAAAATCATATCAAATGTTTATCCTTGTCTTTTCCTTATTACTTATGAGGCAATCAATGCCTTCATGGCTTAAATAAATGCTAAAGGTTATATAGCTAATTAGTAAAACCATAATGCTTAGTTACCCAAACATTGAGGTAAAGTTAGACCATATTTCCCATCTTTAGTTAGAAGTTATCCTGTATTGTATTAGTTTCTTTTTTTCTGTTTTACTAAATTACTCCAGAACAGTCAAAGCAGTAAATGTATAAAAAATCTTTTCAGAGTGAAGGTCAGTACAAGGAAGAAGGAACATTTTTTTTTTTTTTTGTCTTTTTCCTTTTTATCGGTACCGGGGATCGAATTCACGACTGCCTGCTTGCAAGGCAGGCACTTATGCCGCTGAGCTAAACCCCCAGCCCCAAGAAGGAACATTTTATTTTCCTTTTATCCTGTCTTCCTGTGTTTGAGAGACTTTTCAGACTAAATGAAAGTAAAATGATTAAACTTGTGGTTGAAACAAGTTTTAACTACTCAGAAGGATATTGCTCATATGGGGAAAGTGTTTTTATGGCTAAGCTCAGGCTTATTTCTCAGGTACAAGACAAATCATAGTGGTCTCTTATAGAAGACTTCAGGTCTCTAGGTTTTCTTTGCTTCTTTTCTAAAAATCAGTTACGCTAACCTTTTTAGTAATTATTATGCTAGTTCACCTTTCAGATTTATGTTGTTTTCCTAGCTTCTTACCTTTCTTTATGCTATTGAAAAATAAAGCATGTTGACACTTTTTTCTGTGTTAGTGGTTTTATTACTTTGGGTGAAAAACATAGCCATTATCATTAGTAGCAAGCAAGAAAAGTTTTAAAGTCTAAGAAATACAACTTTTTCAGTGAATGTGTTTGGTTTACAGCATACATGTGTGTTATAATTCTATTTGAGGCCCTATTGGATTCTTTCTCTTCATTTATTCAGTGATTTCCTAATGAAAGCCACAGGCTCCTACCCTAACATGTATACTTTTAACTTTTGTGGTTCTATAGAAAATAAAAGACTCTACTTTTGAAGACTGGAAGAATATTCGCGGCCCAAGGCCTTGGGAAGATCCTGATCTCCTTCAAGGACGAAATCCAGAAATCCTTAAGACTAAGACAACCTGACTATGCTCATTCTTTTTTTTAAAAAAAATGTTAATCAACAGGACGTATTGGTCCAGGACATACTGGACATAAAATTCTACTTCTGTGGAAAGTTGGTAGATAGATAGATGATAAACTAGATTTGATAGATGATAAACTTGATTTTAAAAAGTCAAGTATACAGTTTTTCTTTTTCCCAGATAGTCCACTTACAAATGAAAGTAACAGTATTGACAACATAAAAAGAATTTCAACAAAATTGTGTGTACTGTTATCAAAGTATGTTGCATTTCATGTCCATTAGTGCAACATTTTGCTACCTCATGCTTATTTCTAATGAAAATAGTAGATTTACATTCAAATTCTCACAGTAAAATTGAGCAGTGATTTCATGCTAAACTTATGTAGGAAAGTAATCCTGATCACCTAATCTTGATATTATTTGTAATAAATCATAGTATGCTATCCAGTCTCTAAAGCATTAGTTGATGAGTGTGTTGACACCATGTGTACGTATGTCATCAATTTTAAGGGAGTAATATTAATATTCTCTGTTAAACAAAAAATGTTAAAGAAATTATATAGTTCCCTGTTAAGCTAAAAATAATGAAGTAATACCTGACTGTAAGCGGATATAGCAAATTGTTAAGGTAATTCAGAGATAACTGTTATTTGGTAAAACCTTATTTAAGATGTGCTTTATACCTTAGCATAGGTTGCATAAAAATTTATTCTAGCTTTTTGTTTGATTGGTTGGTTTTGGTTTTTAATTTTAGGTTTGCCATAACTGATCCCTAGTAAAAGAAAGACAGTTTGTTTTTTGTGGTTTTTTTTTTTTTTTTTTTAACTTGTTTTCTTTTTACCCTTCTTGAACCTTTACCTTCTGGTATTTTTATGCTTAATTCTAAATGACTAGTGTCTCAAATAGTTGCACTGCAATTACAAAAAATCAAATCTGGCCCACATTTATCACAGTCAAAACTTATATTCTTGTCAGCCAGGTACTTCAGTAAAGAGTACCCTGATTATCTTGTGATGATAATTTATGATACGGATGATTCATAAAACTTAGTTATCTGGAAGAACAATAGGTTTCATTAGAGAGACTGATTAATTGGTTGATTGATTGATTCACCCAAACCTCACTGCTACAAAAAACTACTCAAAAGTGGGTCATAGACTTAAATGTAAAAATCTTTTGGGAAAAAATCTTCTAGTAAAAAGTTTATACTAAATATTCGTAATGTTCGAATATTATGAACAAAAATGTTCGTAAAAGAAAAACTTATCAAATTGAGCTTATCAAAATTACAAACTTTTCCTCATTAAATATTGTTAAAATGATGAAAGATATACAGACTAAGAAAAAGTATTGACAAAAGACTTACGTCTAGAATACATTGAAAACTCCAATAAGTTTTCAAAAATCTATTAATAAAATGGGCAAAAAGCAGATACTTTATTTTTTAAAAATGGATGGAAAATAAGTACATGAAAAAAACGTTTGATATCAGTACCCACTAGGGAGATGTTAATTTAAACCACATTGAAATATGACTAAATACCTATTAGAATAGCTGAAAAGCAAGATGTGGTGGCACACACTTGTAATTCCAGGTACTCAGGAGAATGAAGCAGGACAGAATTGCAAGTTTGAGCCAGTGTGGAGGACCTATCTCAAAAACACAAAAAGCTGGGGACGCCACAGTGGAGGATAGCAACAGACAGGAAGGACTACTAGTTGGTGGTGAGTGCTGAGGACTCAGTCCTCCCACACGAGACAGCGATTGACCAGGAGCCATCTAGGAGAGGGTCCAGCTGAGCTCAGAACTCAGAGCTGCTGCTGGCTCCATCAAATGGTTTCCAACTGTGCTCAGGCCTGCAGGTGTGTGGATGGTTGCAGGTCAAATGAATAGTCTCAGCCAGAAAGTGCAGGCTCACTGAAATTATCCAGTAGCCCCCTGAAAAGTTCCTGCTGGCCTGCTGAATGGATGCGCACAGATCAGGACTCTGTCTCCACACATCTACCAGTGATGGCAGAGACAAACCTGGAAATAGACACTCTCTCTCTCTCTGTCTCTCTCTTTCTCTTTCTCTTTCTCTGTCTTTCTCTCTCTCTCTCTCTCTCTCTCTCTCTCTCTCTCTCTCTCATCATTCTCATTGTTGTGGTTTTGTTTTGTTTTTTACTTTTTATTTGGGTTTTTTCTCCATTGTCTGATCTTTTTATATGAGTATGAATGTGGTTTCTACTCGTTGTGGTGGTTGTTCTATTCTTGTTTTCTTTATCTCTTCCTTTTCTCTTGCACTCCAGTGTTCTGCACCAGTTTCCCAAAGTTAACATGATCACCTTTGTCCTCCAGCTTCTAATCTCTTCCTCTTCTTCCACTTCTTTATTTTCTCTTTAATCCATGTTAAATTTAACCCCTGAGGGCAAAATTGATACATTAAGGACTTTTAAACTACATATAATTTTCTAGTTTGTTTTAGACTTTGTTATATAACCACAAATCTAGTTCATATGGTTAAAAGTGGCAAATTAATGGTTATCTCAGTTTGTCATTTTCTAGGCTGTTCTGATGCTAATGGTACTACTGTAAACAAAAGTGATATAATTGTTCTAAACAGCTGTTCTTCCTGGTATTCCATGACTGAGATTGACTGAGGGTCACCGAAAATACTGTGGCAAAGTATAAAGAATCAGGTACTGGGTCAAACAAGCAGCAACTTTTCATCTCCCCACAAATTGAAGAGGTAGGATCTTTCAACAGACTCAAAATCCAAAAACCAGCTACAGCTAGAAGATACCTCACAGAGGTAGTCATTCCCTAAAGGTTCTAAATACTACCAATAAAGCAACCCACCATAGGCAGCATCACCACAGGAATTAAACTAAAAAAAGAAAAAAAAATGAGAAGACATTTAAAGAAGCTGTAACCTCAGACATCTAGTTGACCAAAGGCAAACCCAGGGGACAATGAAATGGGGCATTCCAAAAGCCTCCCACCTGACCTCTCTGAAGTGGTAACAACAAAATAATTGAGGCTCTGGAAAAAATCAAATGAGAAATAATTTCTCAAATAACTTCAGAGATAGTATCCACAATGAAGATCATACTCAGTAACTCTAGAGCAGATACAGATAAAAAAAATAGATGAGGTTAAGAAAATTATGAAAGTCATGAATTCTCAGCATAGGAAAGAAATGGAATCCATAATGCAGATTCAGGCAGATACTGGCAAAATAAAAATTCCAGTGAAAGTATTTGCAACAGATTAAGCTAATGTGAGGACAGAATCTCAGATATAGAAGACAGGCTTGCAGTTAGCTATCATGAAAATAAAGATTTCTTAAGAATAGTAAGGGACTATGAGAAATCAATGCAGCAGCTGCTAGATGAGGCAAAGAAGAATAACTTAAGATTGATTGGAGTCAATGGAAAGAAAAAAACAGGAGATAGCAAAGATGATATTAGAAACTGTTCATAGATATCATGACAGAAAACTCCCCTGGTAGAAAAAAAGAATTTTGACACAGATACAGAACTCCAATTAGCTATGATTAAAAAAAATCTAAAACCAGGCGTATCATAGTCAAGATTCCAGAAATTCAACACACAAGAATAGAATCTTAAAAGCTGTTAGGGGCAAAAAAAAAAAAAAAAAAAAAAAAAAGTGTAAAGACCTACTCTCACTAAAGGCCTCATAGAACTATAGAATGCTCCTTATTTCCTGTTACCACATCAGTCTGGATGTAGTCATGGGAGTTTACTTTGTACAGTACATCAACTTCAAGATTCAAAAAAAGAAAAAAGATAGTTTGAAGAGACAAGCATCAGAACTCAACTCAGCTATTAAAGGTTGGAATTGTTAGATTGGGAATTTAAAATTGATTAATGTGATAAGAGCACTAATGGAGAATATATAAATTGTGCAAGAACAGATGGATAATAAAGGCAGGGAAACAGAAGAAAAAGTAAAATTCTAAAAATACAAACTAACAAATGCAGAATCCTTTTATTGGATCATCAGTAAAGTGAACATGATTGAGGGGGAAAAAAAAAGTAAAAGGGGAGAGAGAGAAAAGTAAATGTATCATACTAGCACTAATGAAAGCTGAGGTCCCTGTATTCATTTTAAACAAAGCAGAAGAATTTATAATGATAAGGGTCCATTCTTCTAAACACAGTTTTTAATGTGTATGTGTCCAACAGTGAAGCAGCAAACCAATAACAGAAAGATAGAAAATCCCCAAAATTCTTGAAGATTAAACAAGACTCTTCTGAATCACACATGGGTCAACGAAGTCTAAAGAAAAATGTAAAATATTTTCTAAGCCAGACATAGTGGTGCACACCTGTACTCCCATTACTCTGGAAGACCGAGGCAGAAGGTCTGCAAGTTAGCACAGCCAGAGCAATTCAGTAACTTAGCAGGATCCTGTCTCACAATAAATAAATACATACATACATATATACATACATACATAGGATTAGAGATGCAGTTAACAGTATAAGTACCCTGGGTTCAATTCCCAGTACCATCAGGAAAAAAAAAAACTGTAAAATGGAATCAAAATTTTATCAAATTTCATTCAAGGAAAGGTTCTTTGAGGGAAGTTTATAGAATTGAATGTATTAGAATAAAAGGAAAATATGTAAAACATGAAGCTTGTAGCTTAGGAAAAGAGAGGTTAAATTTCAAAACTGGAAAAAAAAATCAATATAGATGTAACCAGAAAATCAGAGAAACTCAAGCCAAAAGTTAGCTCATTGAAAGTATCAATAAAATGGACACAACTAGTCAAACTAAGAGTGTAAAAAGACAAAAAGTACTAATATGAGAAATAAGAGATTATTGCCAATGACTCCACCCACATTAAAAGGATAATAAAAGAACAGTGCTGTATCCATAAATTTGGTGACCACAAAATAGTTAAAATTTTAAAAGATACTGTCTACCAAAACTTAATATGAAAGTAAATCATATGAACAGGTTGTATTTATTAAATTGAATCAAAGGTTACTTTCCAAAACAGCACCAGACCCAAACATATTGACTGAAGTCTATTGAACATTTAATGATGAAATTATGGCAGTTCTGTATGACCTTTTCCAGAAAATAGAAGTAGATGGAGTGTTTCCTAATTCCAAAAAGACAAAGATGTAAGAAAAAATTATATCAATATCTCTCATTAATGTACATACAATAATCTTCAAAAAACATTAGCAAATGAAATCCCATAGTGAAAACAATTATATAACATTTTGAAGTGAGATTTATTCCAGATTTGTAAGGCTGGCTAGTTCAGCATTCAAAAAACAACATTTATTATATCAACAGGCTAACCTAGAAATCACATAACCATATCAGTAGATGCAGAAAAAGCATTAGACAAATTCCAGCACTCATTCAGTGATTTGAAAAAATGATGAGGGACTCCCTCAGCTCTTAAGGAAGGTACTTGGATACTTTCTGTAAGATCAGGATTTTTCCTTTTATCACTCCCACATAATAACATGGAAATTCCCAGGTAATGTAAGACAAAGTAAAAAATACATAGATTGGCAAGGGACTGTTAACAAATGACATGATGGTTTGTGTAGAAAATCACAAACTGGAACAAATAAGCAATTGTAAGATTATTGCAGTATACAGGTTGACATATAAAAACCATTTGCTTTTCTACATATTAGCAACAAACAGTTGGAATTCAAAAAGAATGTAGTCTGCATTAGAAGAAAAAATTCCTTTGTATAAGTATAAAATATGTACAAGATCTATGTAAGGAAGTCTGCACACCTTTGATGAATGCAAT